ATATATATATATAATTTGAATTATAAATTAACTAAGTGTCCTGATGAGCATATGCAGAATATTGTATTCAAAACTATAATATATGCATGATTTTAAGGACACATATCACATACACAGAAGTTGACAAATAATAAAAATAAAATGTAGAAATTAAGCTGGAAATCAAAAACAAGCATATAACCCAAAAATCTTACATTTTGAAATTAAAAAATACACTTCTAAATAACCAATAGGTTAGAGAAGAAATAAGAACAGAAATTAGAAAACATTTTGAATTGAATGATAATATAACATACATATGAAGTTTATGAATTTAGAAGGCATCCATAGCCTTATAAAGGGAAATATGGAGATTTTAACATGTATTTTAGAGAAGAGTAATGCTAAAAATCAGAATCTAAGCATCATTTTAAGAAGGAAGAGAAAATGAGTCCTAGGTAGATTTTAGATCCATTGTGAACGACAAAATAATAATGTTTCTAGGAGATAAAATAAGAGAATATATTCAAAACTTTTGTGTTGTCAAAGCACTTTAAACAAAACAAAACAAAAACACACACGAGTTATAAGAAAAGGTTGATAACTTGACTACATTGAAATTACCTTCTGTTCATATGCAGTCACCATTAAAAGGGAAGTCCCCAGTGAGAAAAGATATATAATATAAAACCACAAAGGGTTCATATCCAGAATATATAAAACATCTTCAAATCAGCAAAGAAAGGATCAACTCAATAGAAAAATAGCCAAGTGACTTGAACACACACTTCAAAGAAATGGATATACAACTGGTTAATCAGAGAAATACAAGTGAAACCACAGTGAGATACTACCAGATATTCACCAAAATGAATAAAATTAGAAAGGTGGATAATGCCAAGTGTTGGCGAGGATGTGGAACAGTGGGACATTTCCAACAGTACAGATGCAAATGTAAATTATTGTCCATTTTAGAAAATAGCTTGGCATTGTCTCCCAAACACACATCAAAATACATGTCAAAAGTACACATATCCTACAATCAAATCCTAATCCTAGATACATGCCCAACAGATATAGAGACATGAGTACCAAGAGAAATGAACAAGAGTGTTCATTGCAGCCTTATTTTAATAACCAGAAGCAGAAAACAGTCTAAATTTTCATCAGTAGTAAAATGAATAAATGCTTTGCATATTTATACAATCATATTATAGAGCAAGGAAAATGAACAAACTATAGCTAAATGCAATAACATGGATGGCTCTTATAAACAAAATTTTAAGCAAAAGAATTGAGATACACATACAAAACATAGTTTGTTTCCACTTACATAATGTTTTTAGAAAGATTAAACTAAACTATAACATTAAGAGATGCATTTTTAAGCAGTAAAGCTATAAAGGAAAGGATGAAGAAGGTCATCATAAGTCAGGATAATGGTCACCTTGGCAGAAAACTAATGGATTATTGATTAGAAGGGATCACAGAGGGCTTCAAGCATTCTGGCAATGTTCTGTTTCTTTCCCTGAGTGGTGGTTCCACAGTTGTTTGCTCTGTGATCATTTACTGAGGTTTATATTTTCTGTTTTGTGCTTTTCTCTATATGTGTGTTTTATTTCACATTAGAAGGGTACATAAATAAAACATAAATCTGATCCTGTAAGTGTCTCCCCTTGCCCTCAGGTTCGAGTTTAATCTACTTACCTTGACATCAAGGCTCTTTGGGAATTTGTCCTGCCTACCCCACTGTCTATGTCTCTCTTCTACCCACACTTAACATCTACTGCTAGAGTCAAGCTAAGCAAACTGCAGCTTCTTAGAATGGGCATCTCGCATCTTTTTGCCTTGGGCAAACGCTGTTCTTTATTTAAAATCCCACCCCCAGCCTCATTCATCTGAACAAGTCTCCATTCTTCAGGAGCTGCCTCTTCCTGGGAGTTTTTCTGCTCTTCCTTAGGTGACAAATGGGTCTGTGATGACACTAGCCGCATTCTGTGTGATGTTTCTGTTTACTTTTCTGTGTCCCACAGGACAGTGTGTTCCTAGAGGGCAGGGAACACTTCCTATTTACCTTTCTGTCTTTAGAGCTTTCGTTAGTGCCTGACGTGTGGTAAATAGTCTAGAAACATTTATTGATGAATGAAGACAGTGACAATTTTATCCTTTTTGTGTGACCCAGGTGGATAACAAACAACTGGATTTAAAGAGTGAAGACATTGAAAGCATGGATGCTACCAAGTTAAGCCATTTCATTCAGAGAAACAACCTCCACTTGGTGACAGAGTATAACCCTACGGTAAATAGCCCCTGTCTGCAGACCCTTAAAGCCCACCGATCACGTATTTGGATGTCGCAACGATGTAAAATTTCTTTAAAGTTTTTATACACCTATTCCCATTTTCTGTGCCTATCTCCTTGTGGACTAGTAACTAACATTTCCTGGTCTGGCCTAGACCCTCAGGGGGTCTCAGGTTTCTTTCTGGGTTTGTCTTCCTTGGGTGTTGCATGCTGCCTGAAACCTGGGTGAAGCTGCTGGTCCACCTGTCCTGCTGGCCTTCTAACACTCTACAGCTTATAGAATTACCTTGCGTGTCCTGCCTTTTGCCTTCCTGAATGTGAATCGTAGACTGATGGAGTGTTGACTTCCAGTGATCTACAGCAGCTCAGAAATGCTATGCGTTCTCTAGTAACAGTACTTTATATGCATGTCATGCTTTTTAGAACATACAAAGCCCTTTCACACCATTTTCTCATTTAATACTCACAGAGATTCTTTGAGGTAGAAGAGAGGAAATTATTATGTCCATTTTATAGAGAACGCTCAAGTTCCAAACAACATTCAAGATTACACAGTAAGTGGAAAAGGCATCTTTTACGTCAGAAAACTTAACTGATGATGCATTAGCTCATATTGTCTATTTCTATTCTACTGGAGAGGAAATGGGAGTTCAGAAAAGTGAAGTAACTTCCTCAAGGCCATATGACTAGGAATTTGAGCTTCAGTGACAGCCCTATCCACTTGTCCCTGATTTTTTTATGACTGGTCTGTCTGACTGAGTCCTGTGGTTTTTCCACTGCCCCACACAACCTTCAACAGAAAACACCCCTTTTCCTGTTGACTAAATTCCTGTCCACCTCTCACACCATGTTTTTCTCCATGGAATGGTGACTCCATTTCCACTTCTGCTAAGATTCCAAACACACGCACCCCAGGGGTGTTGGCAGCAATAATTGAAAAAGCATTTTTCTCCTAGACCATCATCATTCTGGTCATTGTGTCTATAAAGCTGCCAGGAGTGCATGTGGGACCAGAAAAGATGATCTTCCGGTCCCTGAGCTTATGGTCCAGGGTCCTGGAGTTCTGCAGGCGAACGAGGGCAGATGCAAGGACTAGCCTTCCTGAGCTCTGATGCCTGGTCCATATCTCATCTTATAGAACAATGACATTTGTTAAGTTCCGTATTAGTAGTGACAGCAAATCACATCAAGAAGAAATTAGGAAAGAATTTCTTTAGAGAAGCAAGTTCAACTTTTATTGTGACTTTTACATTTCCAAAATGTAGTTTATCTCAACTGGTGACCTGCCCACACTACTATAGTTGTTTCTCATCTGTTGCTGGTACAGAGGTTTGTATCAGTAGCAACTGGGCAGAACTTCATAGCCATGTAGTTGGCCTCCTGTGCCCTTTTAAGGCACACACTCAATACTTGGCTTCAAGGTGAAAATCCAGCTGTTTAATCTATTAGAATTAAACTAATCACTTCTGCTGTGTTCGATCCCTTCTGCTAAGACAACTATATCATTTGACTCCTCAGCTTTGATTTTTTTTTTTTTTTTTTTTTTAAGGATTTTTTCCCTTTTTTTTTTTTTTTTTTTTTTTTTTTTTTTTTTTTTTGGAAGCAGGACCCAAGTTTTGCTGAATACAATTTTTTTCTTTTTTTTTTTTTTAAAGGAATTTTTGCCTTATTTATTTATTTATTTTATTTTTTACTTTGGCTGTGTTGGGTCTTCGTTTCTGTGTGAGGGCTTTCTCTAGTTGTGGCAAGTGGGGGCCACTCCTCATCGCGGTGCGCGGGCCTCTCACTATCGCGGCCTCTCTTGTTGCGGAGCACAGGCTCCAGACACGCAGGCTCAGTAATTGTGGCCCACGGGGCCAGTTGCTCCGCGGCATGTGGGATCTTCCCAGACTAGGGCTCGAACCCGTGACCCCTGCATCGGCAGGCGGACTCGCAACCACTGCGCCACCGGGGAAGCCCCCTCAGCTTTGATTTTTTGACTCTTCTCAAGCTTTATTCTCCATCTCCACTCTAGGAGAGTAGATGCATGCTCTAAATTTAAGTAGCAGGATCTAGTAGAACAAGGGACAATTATTTAGCAGCCAATCTCCCAAACTTAAAATGTAAGACCTGGTTTGAAACTCCAGGGGGAAAGTTTTGGGAAAGAACTCACTGGACTCTCCTTACCTACATGTTGGCCAGTAGAGCTGAAAAAAATCTCTACAGAGTAGTGTGTAGCTTCTGGAAGGATCCTACCTAGTTGCTCCCCTTCCCACCACCCTGGGACTCTGCCCAAAGATTCCTTAACACACCATACTCTCTCTTCTTGTGCACATGCTAGTTTTACAGCAGTGCGTTCTGTATTTAGAAGGGAGGGGTGAAAAGGAATGGGATTTTGTTTAAAATAGCGACAGTTGCAGCACTATTTCAGGAAAGGGAAACGAAGGGAACCCGTGCCAGAGTTTTACACTCTGTCTTCTCTCCTCCCTCTGGTTCACAGCTGTCCCCTCCCTTCCAACACCGACGACTTCCCGGGGAATGACCATCTCTAATCAGCAAAGAAAGGGCCAATACTTCTGGTCTCCTGAAGAGCTTACCTTATGGCTGACCTGAGGTGCTCTGATTCAACCATGCTGAGGGCTGAATTGGTTTTGTTGAGGATTTGCCATCCGCTGTGTATGAGGCAGTACATTCTGCTGGTTAAGATCATGGACTCTGGAGCCACACTGCTTGCTGAGAATCGCAGTTCAACACGTTCAGGACTTTAGGAGATCTTGAGCCTCAATTTCTTCTTTAATAAAACTGGGACTTTGAGGATTAAATTAGTTATTACACGTAAAGACCTGAAAACAGTGCCCAGCACATCATAAGCACTCAAAAGTATACACTACTGACATGCAAGGTCCACATTTTAAGTGCATCTGGCTGCTCTCGCAACATGAAAAGGGGTTTAAAAGGTGACTAAAATGTTCCATGGTGTATTTGTTACCTATTGATGCATAACAGCTTACTCCAAAATTCAACAACTTAGAACAGAAAAAAAATGGATTGTGTCTCGCACAGTTTCTGTGGGTCAACCGTTTGGGAGTGGCTAGGGTTAGGTGCTGCAAATCTGGGGGCTCATGTGAAGTGGCAGCCACTGGTCAGGGAGGCAGTCATGGGAAGGGTTGACTGGGGCTGAAGAGTTTGCTTCCAAGATGGCCCAATCACAGACAAGTCAGTGCTGGCTGTTAGCAGGAGGCCTTAGCTCCTTGCCGTGCGAATCTCTTCATAAGACTGCTTGAGTGACCAGTGTAAGAGAGTAAGTGATACGAGTGAGAGCAAAGCAGAAGCCACTGTGTCTTCTATGACCTAACCTTGGAGGTCACACTCCAGCATTACTGCAACATCCCTTTGGTTACTCAGCTCAGCCCTATTCAGTGTGGGGAGGAGAAAGCTACACAGTTGCATGAAAACCAGAGGGTGAGACTGACTCAGCACCATCTTGGAGGAGTTGCCACTGATGTGATGGATGGACAGCTCTCATTTATGCTCTAGTGTACCTATTCACCGGTTGTCACTAATGTTCTTTTTCCCTCCTTTTCACTTTCATTCTACTTCAATACATTTCAATTTCCCAGACTGTAATTGGCCTATTTAATAGTATGATTCCAATTCATCTTCTACTGATGATGAACAAGACCTCCCCAGAGTATGAAGAAAGCTTGCACAGATACCAGGAAGCAGCTAAGCTCTTCCAGGGGAAGGTAAGTCTGGACTGGGAAATACCTTTTTGAATACTCAGCAACAAGACACTAGAAAAAGGGAGATGGGACCAGGGAAGTGAGATAAATGAGGAAAATACATCAGGTTAAGAGATAACAAAGTGAGAACTGGGGCATAATAAATCCCATTACTCTGATTTAAAACTTAAGATGTATTTTATACTCTTAAAGATGTATTTAATCATATCTTCCATTAGCAGTAAGTCTATTTCTTTTTTTTATGCCTTGATGGGTGCAGAGAAAATAGAGACCCAAAGAAACTGAAAATTAAAATCACCCGTTAGTCACGATTTATTGACTCCTTGCTATAAACTCTGAAGTTTTAGACCTCAGGGCTTATTTCTCATCTAAAACACCTGTCAGGTATCTAGTGCCCACTGGATGTCCAATAAATATTTATTTCTTTCCCTTCCCTACTTTGTGCAGTTCTGCTTATGTTACTGAAACAGTAAAGCTTCAACTACTTCAAGGCTACTGCATTGAATTAGAGGCCTCAATGACAAGGGCTGTCTGGTAATAAAACAAGCTGACCTTCGGGTTTTCTGGTTTCCCTAGCACTGGAAGTTTTCAGTGTTACTAAACATAAATAACTCTCTAGACTATTATCAAGAAGATTTCCACTTTGGACAGAAGGTTTGATTTAATAATACAAAATAGTTAACAGTTTTCAAGCACTTACTATACGCTAAAAACTGTACTAGAAATATTAAATCCATTCTCTCATTCAATCTCCCCCAACAAAAGCCCATTTTTCCAATGAGAACACCTAATCTCAGGGAAGCTGAGTAATGTACCCAAAGTCACACAGCTAGAAAGTACTACAGGTAACATTTAAAAAGAATTCTCCACATTTAGCCAATAGGCTGTACTTTCTCCCTTAGCTAACCCCTAAAGTCTCTTCCAGTTCTATGGTCTTAAAATTAAATAAACCCGATCAAAGGGATAAAAAACCAAAACAATGCAAAATAAGAAGAAATTCATTTTAACTCAATGAAGATTTAAACTGTGTGGCACAGACCCTAAATTCCATCAGTGTAAACTCCAACAATCACAGGGTGTCTCTTCCTCCCCAGAGCCTCAGAGAGATCTTTCTTTTCCAAACTTCTCCAACTGCAGATTCTTTTTATTCTGGTGGACAGTGGTGTGAAGAAAAATGGGAAGGTGATATCATTTTTCAAACTAAAGAAGCCTCAGCTGCCTGCATTGGCAATTTACCAGACTCTGGATGATGTGTGGGATACACTGCCCATGACGGAAGTCTCAGTAGAGCACGTGCAAAACTTTTGTGATGGATTCCTGAAAGGGAAGAGGTTGGTAAGTGTGAGACTACAGGTAAAGCAAGTTGAGGTTTGTTTCCCCTCTTGGTCCCTTTAATTTCCTGTTGAATAAAAATTCTTTGACCTCCACTGGATTTGATTAAGAGTAAAGGGATAGGAAATGTGCATATAAATACATGCACTCACCCTCTTCTTTTGCATAATTAATAGAGTATTATACACTATTGTATATTAGTGTACAGCTTGTCTCTTTTACTTAACATGAAGTATGTGAAAAGCTTTCTTTTTTTTTTTTTTTTTTTTTTTAACATTTTTTTTGGGGTATAATTGCTTTACAATGGTGTGTTAGTTTCTGCTTTATAACAGAGTGAGTCAGTTATACATATATATATGTTCCCATATCTCTTCCCTCTTTGTCTCCCTCCCTCCCCCCCTCCCTATCCCACCCCTCCAGACAGCCACAAAGAACCGAGCCGGTTTCCCTGTGCCATGCGGCTGCTTCCCACTGGCTATCTACCTTACGTTTGTTAGTATATATATGTCCATGTCTCTCTCTCGCCCTAACACACCTCACCCTTCCCCCTCCCCATATCCTCAAGTCTGTTCTCCAGTAGGTCTCTGTCTTTATTCCTGTTTTACCCCTAGGTTCTTCATAACATTTTTTTTTCTTAAATTCCATATATATGTGTTAGCATACGGTATTTGTCCTTCTCTTTCTGACTTACTTCACTCTGTATGACAGACTCTAGATCTATCCACCTCATTACAAATAGCTCAATTTCGTTTCTTTTTATGGCTGAGTAATATTCCATTGTATATATGTGCCACATCTTCTTTATCCATTCATCCGACGATGGGCACTTAGGTTGTTTCCATCTCCGGGCTATTGTAAATAGAGCTGCAATGAACATTTTGGTACATGACTCTTTCTGAATTCTGGTTTCCTCAGGGTATATACCTAGTAGTGGGATTGCTGGGTCATATGGTAGTTCTATTTGTAGTTTTTTAAGGAACCTCCATACTGTTCTCCATAGTGGCTGAACCAATTCACATTCCCACCAGCAGTGCAAGAGTGTTCCCTTGAAAAGCTTTCTTATAGTTTATTAACCAACTACACAGAATTTTAATGTATTGATGGACCATGATTTATTTAACTATTCTCTTATTGATAGACATTTAGATTGTTTCCAGTTTTTTTTCCAGCTGTTTCTCATCCCCCAATAATATAAACAAAAGTCTGTTTTACCCAAACTTTGTCCACACAATGTGTTCTCAAGCTTCCTGATCTTTATCAATATTAAAGGCGAAAAAATGGTATCGGTGTTAAAAAAAATAAAAGAGTAAAGTGATAGGAGGATACGGTGGTCAGAGTTGGGATGCTTTTTAAGATGTAGTCATGGGAACAGAACTCCAAAAACAGTTTTGGAAAGGTCTTGCATATTCAAAGGAGCTGAATTTTGGATTTTACCATTCTGTGTACAACATCAGTGGGAAACAAGTAAATTCCATATGAGGAGTTCATGAGATAAAAACTGAAGATGGATTTAGGACTTTCAGGAGGAATTAAATAGCTCAATTTGCTAATCTCAGAGTTCAAAAACAACAGTGGACTCCAAATCTGAATATCAGTCTCATGGTGTTTTTCAGAGAGAAAATCATGAATCAGAAGAAAAGACATCAAAGATGGAACTCTGATTTCTCCCTGATTCTTCTGCGTAGGACCAAGTAGCTACTTTATGCCGAATAAAAAGGGGTGACCCAAACCTCAGAGACAGTAAACAGGATCACCAGACTTTACACATACACATACACGCACACGCACACACACACACACACGCACACACACACACACACACACACGCACAGCTCCAGTTTGTTCCTTAAAGTCTCATTGACTCTACTTTGCCTTTCTTTTAAATTTCCTCTACTCTCTCACTACCCTTCCGATTTTCTCTTCTGCATTCACACTGAGTAGGCCCATGCACTATCATACATACCACTGGATGGAGGCTTTATGAGAAATACTGCTCTACTGCTACAAAGGGGCAACATCCCTAGAGGGAGATTGTTCTGGTGTGTCATTTGATATTGAATTTGTATATTGCACGCGACTTACACACAACCTCTTGTAGGGTTGTGTAAGGGTTGAAACTCTGCTTTCCTCATAAGCCCATGTCCCTCTCTGACTCAGGGTCAAAGACAAAAAGATGGTTTTAAATGCCATTCTGAAATTGTCTTTTTGCCAGAAGTCAAACGATATTTCCAAGTCTCTGAACTCAGCAGAAACAGACCGTGTAAAAACTCTATTCTTGTTTCGAGTTCCTAACTCCCCATATAAATCAACAGCTGCATGATAAATAAAAGGCCATCATGTTATAGGAAAAGACTGCATCTCTTTGCAGACCAAACCCCTTATAAATACCCCGCCACCCAACTCAGCAGAACGGACCTCCCCCTTTGGTATCTACTGTTAGAGTCAGGCCATGAGCCACTAATGTGTTATCGTTCACTGTGGGTGGGATGGGAGCTGGTAGAGACCATCTTGCATGAGGATTGGTATAATTGTGGCAAAGCAGCTATGGGAATCAAATTAGGTAAAAGGTTGGAGAAGGGGTAGGAGGGGGGAACTTGGCCCCAGGGGCGAGCTGGGGCTGGCTAAACGTGGATTATTGCAGGTGAAGTGTGCAATCCAGCCCTTATGGAATGGAGGGAGAGTTTGGCTGAGTGTCTCTGACCCACAGGCTGTTACTGTGAACACACAGATGAGACATTGTTCCCAGGAGGCCCTTGGCTCCAAAGCAAAGTACCTAAGTGCTGAAGAGCTGAAAAACTGCAGTGTATACCTAAGGAGTGGTCCAAGTGGAGAACAGAGACTGAAAGACTTAGTTGTTCCTTCCTGGGGGGAAATCTTCATGGCCACTGAGCTGGGAGTCAGCTGCTGGCATGGACTCTGTGAAAGCACCTGTGTATGGCACACCCCTCGGCAACACGAGACCAGTAGATTCTGAGAAGCCCATTCCCATCCATCCACAGGTCTACTGAAAACCACCCAAACAGTCTCCTGCTTAAGGCTGAAAAATATTCCTGGGACAGGCACATCCCAGAAGCCTCCCTTTGAGGAGGCAAACCAGAACTCTTGACATTTACAGCCAGGAAATTCTTCCTGATATCCAGCCGAGGGCCAGTAGCTACACAAGCTCATTTCTTTTTACCTGTACTGAGTGGAAATTCTTTTTTTTTTTTGCGGTACGCGGGCCTCTCACTGTTGTGACCTCTCCCGTTGTGGAGGACAGGCTCCGGACGCGCAGGCTCAGCGGCCATGGCTCACGGGCCCAGCCGCTCCGCGGCATGTGGGATCTTCCTGGACTGGGGCACGAACCCGTGTGCCCTGCATCGGCAGGCGGACTCTCAACCACTGCGCCACCAGGGAAGCCCCATGACTGGAAATTCTTAACAGCTGCTAATCACCATCACTAAATGGTACCTTTAACTCCTTGCTGGTTGGTCTTAAGCCCTCTTATCCAATCTTCTTTCCTCCATACACGTAATCCAAACTTTTCACCTTTTTAAAAAATTTCCAAGTCATTTGATTGACTTTATTATTTTCTCTCTTGCCTCTTTTTCAAAGTTCCCTCTTTCTTTGCTTAAAATAATGGGATTCCAGACTATCATAGGAATTTGGTCAATGCTAAAACATAAATTCCCATGAGCTATATTTTATTCAATATTGAGTTAATTTTTCAAATATTTTACTTGAAGTCTTCCCCCTAATAACTATGGTCACCACTGACCATAGGTCTTACATTTTTACAGTGTATTTTTCTGCTTGATTACCTTCAAATAGCGATTTTACTATACATAGTACTTTGTATGTGCCTTTTTATCTTTATGGTATTTAATTTAATTATTCCTTCTCAGGTTATGTTTCTCCAGAACTGAAAGATATTTTTGTCTGTCTTCTTCACAGTCAATCTTGTTCTTTGTACAGGAGTTATGACCAGAGAATGGAACTTCTTTCAAAAGAAGAGATTTATAAAGGTTCTCATTCATTCACTAAAGATCACACTTAGTATTATAAACTTCTGTCATCTCTAGATCTTCTCTGTCTTTGAGTAATATCTTCCTAAGACTCTAGATTCATTTTCCCAAGACCATATTATTGTTGAAATATCTAGATATATCACGCTATTTTTCATTGTGGAGTCATTTATTGGTCCTAGCTGGCAAGACTGCCATACTCTTTTCCTTAGAGGATGAAGGAAGTGGTGATGTTATACAATAGAACTTTGTGAAATCTATTAGAAGGTTTGGAAAACTACAACAGAAGGCAGGAGTGGGAGGAGGGCATGAGTCAGAGCAATGCCAGGAAAGTTTGTATTTGAGTCTCACCTCTTCTGTGCCTGTGACTTTGTGACCTTGGAAAAACCACTTTCTATCTTAGAACTTCAGTTCACTGAAGATAATACAATAATAATTCATAGGATTTTTTTTTTTTTTTTTTTCCTTGCGTTATGCGGGCCTCTCACTGCCGTGGCCTCTCCCATTTGCGGAGCACAGGCTCCGGACGCGCAGGCTCAGCGGCCATGGCTCACGGGCCCAGCCGCTCCGCGGCATGTGGGATCTTCCCGAAACAGGGCACGAACCCGCGTCTCCTGCATCGGCAGGCGGACTCTCAAGCACTGCGCCACCAGGGAAGCCCCATAGGATTTTTTGAGATCCCAGAGTGATAATACATATTAAGCAAGTTTGCCATTACTTTTATTTTTTGGTTTAATGCTACCCTGTCTTCTCTGGGTAATGGGCATTTCTCCAATTGTCAGAACTTATGGCAAAGGAAAGCCTTCCTTCAGGAGAAGTACTTGAAATAACTTTTAAAGTTTTGTGTTTTTGTTAATCAGTCAAACATGGAGGGGCTGGGAGTTGGACCCATGGCCTCATGTATGCTAAGCATGTGCTCTACCACTGAGCTACACCCCCTCCTTCTTTGAAACAATTTTTTTTAATGTAGGCTTTATTACTATCCATGTATGGTGAAGCCAACAGATCAGAAGATGATTGCCATTGAAAAGATAGTTTGTTACTCACAGTTCCCAAGAGGAGGGCACATGCCATGCCACAAATGGCCACATGGGGAAACACCGGCGTTGGTCAGGAGACAGAAGAAACAAGGGGGAAATATGGGCAGAGCCTTCATTGTGGCTTTTGTGGGAAGGAACAGTCAAGGCAGGGTAAGCAGGACTGGCTGGTTTGAATAATTTCAGCAGACTCTGGGCCATTGAAGCTGTCCCTGGTTGCCCTGAACATGGCCCTGATGTTATTAGGGCAAATGGATTTTGTCCCAGAGTGTAAGAGCCTTGTGAGAGTTCAGTAAAGGAGGTGGTATGGGTACAGAATATGGACTTGTTAATTTGCATATGAAAGAAACTCTAGCAGATGAGTTGTTTACTACCTTTAGGATTGGCTAGCTCTGGGAGGAGCAATCTCTCCAGGATCAGCAAGGCCCCAGATGTCAAAGCATCAGAAACATATGGTTAATACAATCCTCTCACACTCACCTGTCATGAGATTTCTCTCCCAACTCACCTAGTTTGGTCATGCTACAAAGGAAGGCATACTGTCTTTATCAGGCCCTTATTAATACACGTATACCTTGGGTGTGGAGGGATAAGATGGGTACCAAGTGGTGCATTATACAGTTCATTTATTCATATATTCATTCATTCATTTAAATACTTACTAATCAACTACAAGGATGTCAGGCAAATTTGCCTCCTAAGAGAGAAAAGTTGGCCTTGGGTGATGAGCTATAGAACAGGGAAGTTTCAGTTGTAGTGACAACAGGCAGCACGGAAGCCATCAGACTGATTCAGAGAACTTTAGGACAGAGAAAGCTGGATAAAGGAAAAGGGGGTGCTGTGGACAGGGATGGATGGGAGGCTGGCAGTGGGCTGAGGAGCCCCGAAGTTGGGGAAGAGGAACAACTAAGGGACAGAGTCTACCACAAAAGGGGAGAGGCTCATCATGGACAAACTTTACTTCACAATTGAGTTTGGAACCAGTCCTATTTATTTCACCTTTCTGGAAGTATCTGGTTTCCTAAGCAAGGAAAATAGAACAGGAAGTGGGATATACCTGACGCATGCTCCTAATTACAGCACTTTTACATACAGAGACCTAAGAATAGGAAAAGGATGTTTAAAACTTCTTTTGAGTTTTGAACCTTTGAAGAAACGGTACTCAAGAAATCAAAGAAACAAATGAATTTTAAAATCATACTTTTGTGATTCACCCTCATTCAAATCAATTCCAAGGTAGGCCAGGGTGTCATTCTTTTTCTTTCCATTCTGCAACCAGAGGTCATTGTTTCTGTGAGCTTCACAGTGAAATATCTGAGTGACTCTAGGAGCAGAAGGTAAGGGAGAGTGAAGGATGAGGGGGTAAAGCTAAATGTATAGGTTCTGAAAAATTGTGTAGAATCCAGACTTTATGTGTCATTGTCCAAACAGTTGCACTAAGTCTTAATAGCAGGATTCAATTTCTACATTAGACCTACTAGTCTTAATACAGTAACATGGTTTTAGCCTGGGCTTGAGGAAGAAAAAATAGATGAGATTTGACATAATTCCAGCTGTAGTGAAGTAAGAATTTAAAAATGAACAAATATGTAGTGTTGGACTTACCTGGTGGCACAGTGG